ACCGCGTTGGAAACATGACCAATTTTGTTTTACCCGGTGGTCTCCCGGCTTTATGGGCAATTTGTTGCGATTAAAACATCCCCTGCAAATAGTGTTTTTTTAAAAGGTGCCGATCCATAAAATGGTTTGGAAATCAGCATCTTTCTACAAGCCGGGGGTGGAAAAAGATAGAGAGAGAAGGAAGGGGACACAAGCTACCCACTGTCCGCGGCCATGAGAATGAAATTGGACGTGGGATCCTTATCCCTGCTTTAGGGTGGAGATCTGCCCCCGCCCGTGCTTTCAGGGGCACCTTAGAGTAAACTACCTCTTCCACCCCGCCCCCCACTTACAGTAACACTGTGAAAATGTTATTTACAAATACTTGCAAAGGGAACAATAAAGGCAGACGTGGATAATAAACATCAGCCCAAGCGCACGGGGCACCGACATCTCAACCAGGGTCAGTTTCATTTCAGTAACAGGACTGTCACCGAGAGCTAAGCAACTAACCTCACCCCCATTTTGGCCACATGATTTTTTTTTTAAGATCGGTTTTGACAGTAGGACTATCCTCCTCCCCTCTCCCTCCCCCCACTTATAACAAACCACAATGCTCGTCTAATCCAGGTCAGGTCAACGATTTATATAACTCATTAGTGAAAGTAATAGGCTTAAGGAGATGAAAGAGGACACCTTTGATTCCTCTTTCCTTTAAAACGATTACAGGAGAAGGATCTGCCCCAGCATTGCAATTTCTCCCCACCCCACCCCCAAAAGTCAGCCTCCGGGTTTTATTTTTTACTCGCTCTTCACCCAGGATTTTGCTTTGCCTTATTAGAACCAAATTGAGTTGTAATTAATTTCCCCCTCTCTATCATAAATTGTTCAATCTTCGCTTTCCTGGATGCTAGATGTGTCTCTATTTGACTCCATATCGATCTGGACTATGCAGTTTTCTTTTCTCCTGTTGCTAAATCTCTTTGTATATACCCGCCCCCCCCCTCGTATTTTTTCCAATCCCTTGCGCGCACGCTACCCTAATCATTTTAGTGCTTTGCTGTGTACATCCCCTGGTTTTAGTCCATGTTAATCCTTTAAATTTTAGTAGATTAGGTGGCTGCGTGCCATCCCTCTCTGCCAGATTCATTCTGGGAAAGTTTGCTTATTATTATAAAAGGTTTCTTCCTCCCCCTTCCCCCAATCCTGGCTAAACTCAGGCCTAATGATGGAAGACTTATGGGTTTAATAACGAACTGCAATTAGTCTTAAAATAGGATTTACTTCACGCCCAAATATTGTCAGATGGACAGGAGCACAGGTTCCTAAACACTTTCCTATAGCTTTGCCACTTCTACCAGTTCTGCACTTCTTAATCCTTCAGTCCTGCAGGGAATTCTTGCAACACAAATGTTACCGCCCCCCCTCTCATATCATAACAACGTTTTCCATAATGCCGGGCAAGATAGAGAGAGACCCATAAACACAAGCGTCCATGGCAGAATTAAGAGCTGGACTTGCAGTGGTCCAGCTTTGACCCAAAGCATGTCAAAATTGCAAATCACTTCCTTTGCCCCCAGATCTAAATCGATTTTAAAAAGAGGGGAACTGAGAAGTGCAGGATATGAAGGCTCAGGGGAGAAAACTGAAGCACACGAGTCTAAGATCTCCATTTCGAGTCGAAAAGTTTCTGTAAAAGAGAGGGGCCCCCTATCAGATGGTAACACTGATTGAACAAGAGATTAGCACAATAGATCTCTAATCGACGGGAGACGTTTCTTTTCACGCTAAGCACCGTAATTAATGGTATGAATCAATTAATTTGACTTTTATTGTGTCGAAGAAAAGCTCAACAAATGAAACGGTGGGTTTTCAGAGTTGATCTCCCCCCACCCCCACTCCCGGGAGATTTCAGAGAGAGAGAGTCTAATATACATACACGCGCACAGAGAATCCTGTTTGTGTCTCTGTGTGTTAATGGTAGGACAAATTCAGCTCCCTGCGAGAAGGCTCGGCCATAGCTCCAGCAGGTTTTTAAAGCACCAGAGGAAGAGCTTTGTTGTCCAGATGGCAAAATATAAATTAGGATCATTTGGAGAAAGCGCAAAGAAGACACAAGACGGCAATCAATAAAGCACAGATACACACACACAAAAATCATCGAGAAAAACATTGGCTTTCAAAGCACCGAGCGACGCTTCTGTGTAGAGAGGGAGAGCTGGGATAGTGCAATGTTGTGGGCTTGCTTTCTTGTCTAAAATCTTCCTGGGCTGTGTGCGAGGGTTTTTTGTTTGTTTGTTTGTTTGTTTGTTTTAATAATGCATAGAGAGAGTCATTCTAACTCTAAAACAACCTTATTTCAGCACAGGGAAGGAAAGATATTTTTCCTCTCTCTCAAAACTTAAAATAATATATATGAGAGTTTGACTTTTTTGGTTAGACACATTTATAATGGTATTTTTATCTTTACATTTTAAGTGTTGTCACTTTTTAAAAAAAATACCCATTCGTTAAACTTTTGCTAGGTCAGACCCAGCCATCAGATTTATTTGGATGAAGATCTGTCCTGAAAATTAATGCTCACATTATCTCGAACTATTTTCTATTCCTCCCAATATAAAAACAACAGATTTAGGGCAAGTATTAACGCCAAGTAGCCAGCGCGGATCATTTAAATAGCAATACTGTACTGTATACCTAGAGTATATATTGAAGCAAGTTTGATTAAGATCTTCTCCCCACTGGGTAGGGGATAAATCAATCTATCTGTTGCCAAACGTCTTCTGTAAAATATTTCATCAGATCTTTACTCATCAATATTTTCATCCCACTAAAGCGAGCGCTGCTCTATAGTTGTGATATTCACCTGCTCTTAGTAGTGTAAAGTGAATCTCACATTTTTGTTTGAACCAAATAAACCTTTCAGGCATCGGAAAGCAATTGACATGGTCCCCCCCCCCAATTGTTAATAGAAAGGTGGGGAGGATTATTGATTTCCCTTTGTGGACGGTTATATGTTCTTTTTAGGCAGGGAGGGATCTTAATGGAAGACCAATATGTTAATACAGACATTACCGATCTCTCTGATTTATTTTAAAGGGGGAAGGGGGCGGAGGGAAGAGTTTATATGCCCTTTCGAACAATAATTGCTCATCGGAAATTGTTTTATCCTTTTGCAGTTTTCTACTTAAATATATTTTTTAAAATCCAAAACACATGCGATCGTTCAAACAATACACAGGGATTAAAAAAAAAAGGAAAGAAAAGAAAACCACTGAGCAAACCGTTTCCGACCTACCCAGGTGTTATTGTTCTCAGTTTAAACAGATCCCCTTGGCACAAAAGGAATAGAATTTGTAACCCTGCCTCCCCCTCTTTGGAGCCCCCTTTCCTTGGGACAAGGCTTACCTTGCACTCTGGTGAATAGAGTCTTCACATTCACACACTCCCTCATTTCCTACTTTTTCATATGCTAACGCTGGCAATGATTATGTCGTTAACACCTCTGCCAAAAAAAAAAAAAGGGCAGCTAAAGGCTTCTTTATTTATAGTTTCCCTTTGTTATTTTACGTCTTTTTTATTTCTCTCTGCAACTAATCTAATAGATTAATCAATAGCCATTTTCTGATCTTCGGTTTCCAGCTGATGCTGCTGTTGGAAAAAAAACCCCACTGGAAAGTGATTTCAGAGCCAAAAGTTGTTGTTGTTAAGCATTAATATGATGATGCAGCCGTTTAGTGTATATTTGGTCAGAGGCGATGGTGCTCATAAAACATATTGGCAATGCCTACACAGTTCAGGTTCTACTCCTGACCTTTGGCATTTCGCAGGGTGTTTGCATTTAAATAAAAAAACAGCACTAACTTTTTTTTAATGCTAAAATCAGAATGGTTGTTCTCTCGCTCTTTTGCCAGTTCATAGAATTCCAGCATTATCATTGTTGAAAAAAGCTCCAGTCATCATGTAATAAAAATGAAATGCTTCTAACCTGTAATCTGAGATAAAGGCAGACTAATGGTTTCACACTGATATAGTCCTATTTTGGAGTCCCTACCTAGCGTGAAGGGAGGCTGTGGGCTGAAGTGATGCTTGTATATGATCATGATAAGTAGAGCCACTGTTGTCTCTTTGTTGACAATTCCATGAAACAACTTGAGTTTTGCATGGCTTAACAGTGGGGCGCCTGACGTCAGGCGGTCACGTGGCCACGCCTCCTAGTATATCTTTAACTGGAAAGTAATCTATCAGCCAGTCTTTAAAAAAGGACTTTCAAAGTGGCAAGTGAGTTCTTATAACAACCTGATTTCCCCCCTCCCTCTCTCTCCGCGTCTAGAAATACCTTTCCCCCTCCCTCCAAAAAGGGGAAAGAGAAACAAGAGAGAGGAAGTGTGTGTGGTGGTGGGGGGAAGCTACTGAGAGGACTGAAGCAAGACACCCTTTAAGAGAAGAGGTGGAAAGGCTGAGTTTAAAGAGATCTAACCTGCAGCAGCAGCTCAGATGAGCAGTAGAGGAGTTTTGATCGGATCCCAGTTGCTTGCTGGGGAAGCCACCAGCCCAGCTGCTAGAGGCGTTTGATCTGATCCCATATGTCTGCTGGGGGAAGCAGGAACCGGCAGAGACGTTTGATCCCAAATACCTGCTTATAGGAACCAGTAAAGGAGTTTGAACTGCTGGGGAAGCCGCCACGCTCAGCAGAAAGGAATCGGCGGAGGAGTTTGACCTGATGCCGGGTACCCTGTTGGAGAAGCCCCCAAGAAGCCCAGCACCTCCAAGAGGAGTTTGATCTGATCCCAGATGCCTGGTGGAGAAGGCACCGAGCCCCGCAGACAGGGGACTTTGGTGTGATCCCAGGTACCTGTTGGGGGAAGCCACCAAGAAGCCCAGCAGCTGGGGAGGGGGGGGGTGAGCCCCAGGGCCCGCCGGAGAAGCCCCCCAGCCCAGCCCCCCTCTTTCCCCCCCCTTTCCCCCCCCCCCCCCTCCCCCTTTTTCCCCCCCCCCCCCCCACAGCCCCCTCCCTTTCCCCTGTGCCCCCCTTCCCCTGAGCGGTGATGACCCTGTCAGGCAGCAGCAGCACCAGCGACATGTCCGGCCAGACCGTCCTGACGGCCGAAGATGTGGATATCGACGTGGTGGGAGAAGGGGACGAAGGGCTGGAGAAGGACAGCGACGGCGAGGCCAGCAGCCCGGCCGGGCTGCCCCTGGAGGAGGCGGAGGAGCTGCTGCTCCCCAAGGAGGCGGGGGCAGGAGGGGAGCGCAGCGGCAGCGGCAGCCCGGCGGAGGCCACCCCTAGCGGGGCGGCGGACGGGGGCAAGGGGGCAGGCAGCGGCAGTGGCGGGGCGGGGGAGGAGGGCGGCGGGGCCCTGCCGGGGCAGAGCAAGCCCAAGAACAGCCTGGTGAAGCCGCCCTACTCCTACATCGCGCTCATCACCATGGCCATCCTGCAGAGCCCGCAGAAGAAGCTGACGCTGAGCGGCATCTGCGAGTTCATCAGCAACCGCTTCCCCTACTACCGGGAGAAGTTCCCGGCCTGGCAGAACAGCATCCGCCACAACCTCTCGCTCAACGACTGCTTCGTCAAGATCCCCCGCGAGCCGGGCAACCCGGGCAAGGGCAACTACTGGACGCTGGACCCCCAGTCCGAGGACATGTTCGACAACGGCAGCTTCCTCCGCCGCAGGAAGCGCTTCAAGCGCCACCAGCAGGAGCACCTGCGCGAGCAGACGGCGCTCATGATGCAGAGCTTCGGCGCCTACAGCCTGGCCAGCCCCTACGGCCGGCCCTACGGGCTGCCCCCCGGCGCCTACCCGCACCCGGCCGCCGCCGCCGCCCTGCAGTACCCCTACATCCCGCCCGTGGGGCCCATGCTGCCCCCGGCCGTGCCCCTGCTGCCTTCCAGCGAGCTGAGCCGCAAAGCCTTCAACTCCCAGCTCAGCCCCAGCCTCCAGCTGCAGCTCAACAGCCTCAGCGCCGCCAGCTCCCTCATCAAGTCGGAGCCCAGCGGCCGGCCCTCGTTCAGCATCGAGAACATCATCGGGGTGTCGGCCACCAGCTCAGGGAGCAGCGCACAGACTTTCCTCCGGCCCCCGGTCACCGTCCAGTCCGCCCTCCTGGCCCACCAGCCGCTGTCTCTCACCCGGACCACAGCAGCCATTGCCCCCATCCTGAGCGTGCCTACAAACATTATCTCGGGACAGTTCCTGCAGCCCGCGGCATCCGCTGCAGCCGTGCAGGCGAAATGGCCAGCCCAGTAATTAAGAACTACCCCGGGCACGGTGCTGATTCTTCGCTTTTTTTATTATTATTATTTTATATCCATCTATCTATAAATAAGAGACTGGAGGGGGGCGGAAACACTCAACCTCTCTTCCTATCAATCAGAGACAAAACCCCTGGACGCTAACAAAATCAAACTAAAAAACTGCAGTGTACAAGCAAAAAAAAAAAAAAAAAAACAAACCCCTATACTAAAAAAAAAAAAAGCCAAACACACACACAATCACACAAGGAATGCTTTCTGTACAGGTAAAAAAGAAAAAAAAAGAAAAAGAAAAATCCACCCAACATTTGTACATATTTGTATTAAAAATTATTGACTTTACTTTTGGGGTTTTTATTTTTTTAAAAAGGCAAATAACAGGAGGGATTAGGAGCTTTGAACTTTCACTTTTTTTGAAGGTTCTTACTCTCCAAACAGTTTTATCTGAAAGAACAAAACATGTATTAAAAAGCGGGGGAAATTTTAAATATTAAACAAACAAAATTTTTGGGAAAAAAGGACAAAAAACCAGTCATTCTATTATAGAAGTCTGTTTATATATGAATGAATATATGTATTCTAAATGTTATTCCTTCGTGTTGTACACAACTTTGTAAATAAATTTTTAAAATGCTGTTCCTTGTTTTATTTGATAATTATATACTATAAATATATATATAAAGAGAGTCTGATCGGGTGACAATTTAGGTGTATAATGTATAAATGAGAAGATATTTTAAATGATTGAAACTAACTAACCTTTTCTGTAAATACCTAACTTTCCCTTTAATTCAAATAACCTTTCCAGGAGTTGTTGTTAAATAACATGCTAGTTATGTTAGTTATTGTTTCTATAGATCTTGACTAATTTAAGATCCCAGATTTGTTTAGTGCCTGCCATAATAAAACAGACGATTAGTGCAGATAACTTCCGTTTATTCAGTCTAAATTATCAGCGCAATTGCGCAGTGAGCAGGAGAGCAATCCAGTTGCAATACAGAAAGGTTTGCCATGGCAAAATCTAATTTAAATCAACAGTATAAAAATAAAACATTATCGCAATTAGATTATGTTTGAGACGCATTAATGCTTTAGAACGTGAGATAATATTTCCCCAAACCGCATTATTTTTCTACTATGACTATGTGTATATAAACAGTCAGTTAAAGTAGCACAAAATTCATAATACCTATCATTATTCTGAATATACTTTGTATGTGCATTTCTTTACAATTTTTAAAATGCAGTATTAAATTAAACCTTATGGCAATCTAAAGATTGTTACTAATTTATTTTGCGGTAGAATTAATATGTGTGCTCAACCAATCTAGTTGTATGAATCTTTCATTATTAATATAAGGCAAATATTATATTATTAAACAGCTGAACCTATATTTTAAAGAAAAAGAAATAACCTTTATCATATGAGAATTTTAAAATATATTTGCGGTCATTTTATGTTATCGACTCCTAATAACTAAGTTTGGAGAACAGTTGCAAATATATACTGATATATATATATTTGGGGCAAATTAAAGTGACTACGAGCTATGCCGAAAATAATTCGCTATAAAGTCTGATAGAATTAAAAACACATTTGTTTTCAGCCTGAAAAAAAAGAAGCGAAACAGTAAGAAAAGCATTAATGTGCATTGAAAATATTTTATTATTCTATTCAAAAAATTATTCTATTCACCTCAAGTATTGGAAATAAAATGTCAGTGTTCATATTCCACATAGACAAGAATCTCCTCGTGTTAGTAAAATGTAGTGCATAAAATGCATGTTCAATTAATCAGCTATATTAAGACGTTAACGACTTATTACTACAGCACTGATTTTGTTGCTTATTTCAAGTATAGGATCTGATAGGATCTGCTGTAAGAATGTGTACTTGCCTTATACACAATTTGTTTTCTTGGTAAACAGTAAATATTATTGCATCCTAAGTAAACATTTATACCTCGGGATACATATACTAAAATAAAACAAGCTGCCTGGTGACTGGATAGTTTGAACTTTATAAATAAGGACCTGATAATCATCTGACACGGAAAGGAAAAACAGTCACCTTAACCAAGAAGAGATTATATATCAGAGGCTCTTCATGCAGGTCCCTACATGGGCACTCCTCTAATCTCTTTTTAAAAGGAAAACTAAACAGATCTAAATTTGTTTGTGTGCTGCGGCTATAAAAGTAACAAGTTGTTTCACAGTTGTGTCTAGCTAATCGGTTTTACACAAACAGCAAATGGTGCATGATTTGTGCAACACACGCAGAGGTTATTTCTATATTTAGCTGATACCCCTGGGAAAAGAGAAAGGAGGCTCTTCTTGAATTCACTTTTAGGCTCAAGAAGCTGCTGATCCAGTGCTTCTAACTGACATTGGATAACAGGGGGCTCATTCCATTCCTGATCCTTTGTTACTTATAAAATTACTCCCTCATATTTCCGTACATAGCAATAATACCTCCCGGCCCTGCATGTGTGTTCAGAACAAGCAGCAGCCTTTAAACTGGAAGGCCTTTTCGTACTATTTATTAGGCAGCCGGGGGTGGGAAGAAGGCAAAATAGCCGGCAACTTTCTTCCCAACTAGTTTCCTTTGACACAGAGATTGGAGACATTTCTCTTTCTTTTCTTTCCCCCATGATCTGCATAACAGCTCAGCAGAGCTATAGCAGTAGTGAGGGGGGATCGGGAGAACGGTCGTTTCTCTAACGCTGCTGAATAGTTCTCTTTAGATTCCAGAGATCAGCTCCTTCTTTGAGAGAGAAACGTAAATAGCATTATAGTGTAAACGTTTTAGTCGCAGCAGGAAAATGTGCAAATCGAATTAGAAAAACAAACATGGCAGAGGGAAGCGCAAGTATATTCCCCACTGCTTGGAACATTACAATAATTTAAATTAATAGGTTATAAAATAATACGGAGTTGATCAATTGTTCTCCTAGGTTCTTTATTAAATTAAGAGTGGATTCATTTTAATCGCATTTGGTTTGCTTGTAATGATGGGATACGTTATGTAATTATTACGGGGATTTTTTTTCCGAAGGGTTTATTATAGCGTCTTTGTCTCTCGGCCCCCATGATCTGCTACACACACCGCTGACTCAGACCTAGGATTTGCCATTCTAGCTTCTGCGATTGCCGCCTCTGCAAAGCAAACGCCAAATGTCCTGTTGTCTTGTACTCTATTACACAGGCAAGAGGCACAAGGCTATTGCAGGGCAAAGAGCCCATCACCTAAAAGTAGGACGGGAAGAGAAATCATTAATTTAAACAGAAAGGAATTGGGGAGCAAAATGAACCCAGAGGCCGCAGGTGAAATCTCACTTTGGGGCTCCCAGAGGGACTCAGAATTGTAATAGCGGAGTGGAACCTATAGGGGGCGTTACGTATATAACGAATTTCCCAGATGTCTGGAGCAGCTCCTGACCTCCGCGGTCTATAAAGCGGCTTCTCTAGACTTCTTCCCCCACACTCCCCAGTCATATACAGAGGGACTCCTCGGGGAAAGGATTGCGAGAGGCACACCCCAGTATTGTAACTTGGGAATGGGACAGATTTCTATAGAGGTCTGGAGGAGGTAAACAGATTAACGCGGATGATGAGAAACAGACGACTTTGAAGTGAGGTGTGGAGAAAAGGGAGATCCTTTATTTTCATAGTCCCATGAATAGCCATAATATTTTGGGAAGATCCACAATAACACAGACAGACAGATCCACACATCACTGAATTCAGCAGTTATGTTTTTTTCATGCATTGTATTTCCAAAAGGCACTTTCTGATCCTGCTCCTTCCCAAGTCAACGGGAACATTACCATTAACTCGGATACCAGCAGGATCGGGCCCTTCCTTTGTATATTTGTCCGTTCGTGTGGCTTGAACGGAAAGAAAATTTCTGGGCACTGATGCAGCTGGATGCCAAAGAAATATATAGTATTCCTTTATTAAACAGGGTTTAAAAGAATCCCATGTAGAACAGGACCGTTAGGAAGAGAGACGAAACATTCCTAACCCATTGCCATAGATTTCATCCAAGATGTCCAGCAAAAACAAAATATTCGATTGCTGAGTCAAAAAGCAATTTGAAACGTGGGGAATCTCCTATGACTTCTTTAACTGCGCCGTTTTACATTGATGGAAGCCCTGACACAGCTATGAACCCCATCTCCCTGACCCCTGCACATAACTATCCCAGCAGAGTAGGGAAGTTTCCACAATGGGAAAACCACTCAACTCAACCAAGCAACGAAAGTCTTATTTGCTGGGGTTCCTCCCCCGCCCCCATTTCCACAAACCCTCCGACACATATGGCAAAACTTGACACGGTTGGTGACAGATGCCTGTTAGTGTAAGACATGTCATGCTGGCCTCTGGGGTGTATTAAAAGTAACCAGATCCTAAACACTGGGAAAATGACCATGCTCTGCAGTTGGTGTAGTTATCCAGAGCCAATTTTTTTTTCTCACTTTGGTTATTTATTAAAAATGCAGCAACATTCTTCATTCACCACAGAGGAGGTTTAGTAGAATATACAAGCAAGAATACTTTAATAATACTACTAATAATATTTGAAATCGTTTACATCGTTGGAAATGGGGAACACACCGACGGTCTAATTGCTGTAAATCGGTGTAGCGCTGCGATTGACACCAGCTGAGGATCTGGCCCTTACTTTTACAGCCGGTTTTATTTTGAAAGAAAAATCATCGGACACTCTTTTGAGTTCTTGCACTAAAGCGGAAATGCTGGCTGCAGACCCAAGCGCTGTATTCCTCTCTCGATCCGCTCTCCACGCATCGGAGTTACATAATAATTGATCTGTCACTGGGCATAACTGCAGAGGCGAGAATCCCAGCGCTAGGGTCATTCAAACAGACACCCGCCGGGCTAGTCCTTGCCACTGAAACCAGAACCCACACAAGGGCTAGGCCTTGCACGGGAAATCTCCCCTCTAGTGCTGTGCTTTCACCAAGGTGACTCCCATCCTCAGCGGGAACCGGAGGAAAGCGCCCGTCTTACGGTGCTTCCATAAATCGGACTTTGCGTTTTCCCACCGTGGGGTGCGGGCCTGCGAGCCTCCCCTCTGTCCGGCTACACTGCAGAGGCGAGGCAGCTAGCTTCACAACACCCACCAGCCTGCCCATCTCTGGGGCCGCAGAATCGGGTCCGTC